AGAGAGAGAGAGAGAGAGAGAGAGAGACAGACAGACAGACAGACAGACAGAGAAAGGGAGAGAGAGGGAGAGAGACAGAGACGGAGCAAAAGAAAGAGAAAGAGAGAGAGAGACAGAGTGAAAGAAAGAAAAAAAGAGAGAAAGAGAGAGAGAAAGAGAGAGAGAGAGAGAGAGAGAGAGAGAGAAAGAGAAAGGGAGAGAGAGGGAGAGGGAGGGGGGGATGGCTACGTGACGCAATTCTGTTACATTGGTCGAATAAGGACTGGAGTGGCTATCTCAGTGCAGATAGCGGCCACACCCTGGATAAGGCTATGTTTATCAGCCTCTCTACAGCATCTCTCTATGATCATCTTAGGTGGTGTCTGAAACATGAGGAGGGTTTTTTTTTTTGTTACGAGGATGGCTGGTGTCCTCCCAGCTTCGCCCGCCTCGGCAACCGTCGCTTTTCATTTCAGTTGAATCTTTCCTTACCAAGCAAACACTCACGGCTGAATAGAAGGTAAATACTGTCTAATCTACGTCTTTACTGAACTCAGAGGGATGCTCACATGTTCTTCTAATCTTCTTCTAACTTTTTGAAAATGAAGGAAAGTTAAGGTTTTTTCTTAAAAATGAAACTAAAACAATTTGACGACCCATGTTATGATTAAAAGGGAGCTTGATAGGGGAAAGGAGATTATGATGAAGATGATGAAGTTGGATTTCGGGGTATGCAGTTCGAATACAAATGTTCTTCGACTGCAAGCTCTTAGATCTTACAGATGAAGAAGATTACAAAGGAGGGAAAAACACAGAGAAACTCTGTTAATCAATGTTTGACTCAAAAGAAAACTTGAGAGTTCATTTCCTTCACGTGTTAGTTTAACACACTACCAGATACAAGTAGGTCGTCAAGGAGGCAGGTCACGAACAGTGTGAGAGGTCGGGAGTCTATTGGTTGTTAGCAGTACTGACCCCACCCATGTTCTACTGACCTACATGAAAGACACCTGGACATTATAACACACAGATGTACATACAAAAAAAAGATCCCGCCCCCTACCTCAGAGAGGTTGTAGTATATGAATGGCTCTACGTTGGTGTAGGAGTGACGTCACCTGTTGCTGGGACAACCCTTTATTTTTGTGTATCCTCGGGCACTCATGGCCAAGCGTCTGAATGGAGAACTCGAAGAAAGAAAGAAAGATGAATCTGGTACTTGTAATGCAATTATATGAATCTCTTCTTCTGTCTCGTAATGCAAAGCTTTGGTTGATTATAATATTTTGTAAGTTTTTAGTTTTGTTTAAGTATTAGTAGAAGTTTTACGGCGCTTGCAACTGCATAAGGTCATATGAGTTCTAAGTTTTGTTCAGCACTACCTTTTTTGTCTGAAAAGGAACTGATTAAATGAACTACTGAATATAAACTAAGACGGGATCACAGCCATTATTTCGTTCAAACGAGACACATCACAGAGATTGGGGGATTTTGGCGCGGGTAAGCCATATTTGGTTAATAGATACTAAAAAGAAAAAATAACAACTACGGTTCGGTATTTGATCTCAAGTACAGGTTGAACTAAAACAAGTACAGCCAGCTGAAGGTCTTCTTACCAATATGCTTTACTGTAGTTTTAGTTCAGTAAGATTTATATTGTACTAGCAACGCAATAAGGTCTTTAGTATCGAAGATTAGAGGTGTAACTTAAGAGTTACATGCACAGAAAAGAAGGAAAGAATGACTGATCTTTTTACGGAAAAGAATGGGCTAGCCATAACAAAGCACCCACCAACCACCCACATATTTACTTTGATCATAATAATATGTTCACTTATACAGCGCATTACCACTAAGATGCTCAGTGAACTTTACAATGATAGAACACACGTACAACAGGTTTCAGTAATGATCATTTCTCTCTCTCCCTTTTTCTCTCTCTCTCTTCTCTCCCAACTTTCTCTCCAGTACATGTTCGAGAAAGACATTCCTTAAAAAACAAAACAAAAAACCTATCCACACACAGTTAAAAGAATAGGACCAAGTTTATTTTGTTTTGGATTAATTTTCCTTTCATCTTTAACAGTTCCTCGTGTTTTAGCGCATTACACAATTCCTTACGTATTATGCGGTTCTTTTTCTTTTCTGCGTGTAGGTCCACTGTTGTCTATGGAACCATATGGGGCCTGGCACTCCCACACCCTGAAGGCATTTCCATTATAGCTAGAGCACCGACTTTGGTGGGAAGGAGGCTTGGGAGGAGTGGGGGCAGGAGGAAAGGTTAACTCGGAAGAGCCAGAAGGAATATTTTAACCAACCCCCAAAGGGGTTGATTTGCTCAAAATCATCTAAGTACCATCCATGAAAGACTATTTTAAAAATTAAAGAGAAACAGGGAAATTTCACCTGTCAAAACCACAAAGTACTTACAGAAAGAGTCTCTAGACATGACGCCTACCAGTTGGGCCAATAATTTAGATCCTTTTATCGCCGTCCAATGACTGGTTTTTTTTTCTTCTAACACCCGCCCACGAGCAGCAAACCCAACACGAAGAAGCTTGCCTTCAGCAAATTATTATCTCTTATGAATTGTGAATGCACATTGTGTGTAAGCTCTTTGCTAAGGATTTTTGGGTTTGAGAAATACTATAAACCCAAGTTTGTACCATAATATGTACACGAAAAGAAATATAAAAACGCCCAAAACGCAATTTTCCCGGTTTTGTAGCACACAAGTATTCCCGAAGCCTACCAAAATTACATAGAGTGTCACCAAAAGTGCTTTACTCTGCAAAGACAACACAATGATAGGCCTATGGTCTCTTGCTGCTGTTCAGCACTTCTGGGTTACATGGTAGATCAGACCGAGATGGTCAATTGAACCCATCAAAATCTTGAACACTTCGAACACGGTTAACCATGAGGTACAGCGACTAACCTCATAAGAATGACTCACTGAGGCTTTAAAACATTACGTGTATATTGCTGTTTGTGTAAAATAGAGTAAAGACAAGAAAAAAACAAACAAGAGTTTTCATACGTTTAGATTATCAAGCCTCTCGTTGCAATAGCCAATTCTACAGCAAAGATAATAAAGTACATGTGTGGCATTTCTTTTTTTCTTAAAGAACAAACAAAACAAAATTGAACAATTCAAACGTTTCAGAGTCAGAAAACAGTTTGAACAAAAACGTATTTTACCTACTCGCATGATAACCTAAAATTAAAACGCTTGCGTTGCCGTGTGCAGCGCACGTGGTAGCACAACTATTGAACATACGTTGTGTTTTTCATGGTGAGCCAACAGCAGGGCATTTCTGCAGGTCAACAGCGATGCAGAAGAAGAGGTATCCAAGAATATAGGTACATTTCTGATTTGAATAATAACAGGACTTTGAAAATCCATCGTATCAAAGCATGAAGTATGCATGGGTTTGAGTGGCTTTAGACTTGAGTTTATCAGTTCGTAACTTCAAGTGTCAAAACTCGGCGTGCATGTGCTACAGCTTTCTTAGTCTAGAGTAGATCTAGATTATATAGATCTAGATATAGATCTATATCTAGTAATTGCCTACAGCCTACAGATCATTCATTGTCAAAGACTGCAGTATCAATGCAATTGGGGCTGTCCTCTATCATTTTGCCTGAAACACAGAAAAAGTGCCATAACTCACAGTGACGGCAAGAAAGTAGTTTCTCATTATCCAGGTTTTTCCCCATACCATTAAAAGTTGATTTTAACTCTTCCTTTTGATTGCCTTCAATTTTTTCTCTTCTGTCTCTTCCTAACTCCTTTCGAAAAGTAGGCTACGTGTTGTCCTTTTTATGTCTATGTCAATAGTTCTACAAAGTCACTGTTTCCATTATCTTTCATACTCTCTTATTGTTTCGCTCTAAAGCGTCAAAATAATTGAAGAAAGATCAACTATGCTAATCTTATTACTAGATTGCAGACAGCCATCCCATTTTCTTAGTTTGAAACGACTGGATTTTTCATAAATCCTCTGCGAATACCGTATTTAAAAATAAAAATGCCCGTCAGCAACAGACTTGTCCGATATAGGAGATATGTCTATACGAGACACACTCTCGTGGAGTTTTGGCATATAATCGAAGTTTTTAAGTGTAGAACATTTCTGACACCATCTTAGCCTACTGATACTACTTTGCGTTGTGCCAGGGGCCTATTTGTCTTGTTCCCTCTATTTTTCTTTTTCTATAAACAAGCGTGGGCCAAAACGATCGAGTGAAATAAATTAATAACCCACACACAAACACAAACGCACATACACACTCAAACACACAAATGTTTACCTACACACAGACAC